TCCCAAGAGCCAGATTAACTACAAAGGTCTCCTCCTCCTTTAAAACAAACAGGCCATGTGATCAAAACCAGTAAAAACACTGAAAAAAACAAGTGTTATATTACAAATCTTTGATGCTGTTAGCCCAGCACCTGCTAATGTTGGCTCACCTTTTCTCTCTGATAAGTTAAGATCCAGATGTTTAGGAGTTTTTTACTGGGAGCTGTATTATCTACAGAGGTCTCTTTCTCTCCAAAATAAACGGACTTGATGATTTAAACCAGTAAAAACAATAAATAATAAAGCAGTTTCATGTTACAAATCAGTGTTTCTCCGACGCTGTTTGTCACACCACAAACAGGCCGGTAGCCCAGCACCTGCTAATCCAAACACTTAATGTGTACTCAACATTTTCTGATCCAGATGTTCAGGTTTTTGCCAGGGGCCAAATTATCCACTGAAGGCCCTTCTTCTCCAATACAAACGGACCAGGTGACTAATACCAGCTGAAACAGTGAATATATCAGTTTCACGTTACAAATCAGTGTTTCAGTGAAACCAAAACCAAAACCATTCATATTTTCAGGTGATTATACACTTAAGAAAACATACAAATTATATCATAGTCCGTTTCTGCCAATATATCCCCCTAAATCTTGCACACTGGACCTTTAAGTAGCTGTCATGGAAGTCTTTCTAAGCGCAGAGTGGGTGACAAAATAATTAAATCTCTTGCTTTTTTCTCTTGAAAATTATCAATTGTCTTGGCTAAATCTAGCACCCCTTTCATGTCTGACTCACTGAAGCTGCATTTCTGCTAGGAATGTGGCTATTTATAAAACTGCCAAAGTGATGGATCAGATGTTGAATCTAAGTTAGAGCCATACATAAAAATATCACCACCAAACATCCGTTTTTCAAATATATGCATGTTCCTCTGAATCGTTAAGTGCTTTGTTTATGTATGAGCGACTCTGTCTTCAAGTTGTAACATAAGAAAACCTGTAAACTCAAGAATATTTCCTCCTGCTGATGGACTCTTTACTGCCTCTTTGTGTTTTCACAGCTAATTAAGACAGATATTGTGTTGACAGTATATTGCCAGCCCTGAGATGATGACTTTCCAGCCTGTAATGCAACACTGAGGGTGCTAAAACTCAGTGGCACTACAAAATATACAGATATTTTCCAGGCAGTGGTTTTCTCCCAGTAGTCCTCCAGCTGTTTTGGCACATGTCAGCATATAATGGTGATGCAAAGACGCTGCAGGGGCATTTAATGATGCCCCTGTGCTGATGATTATTTAACAATCATGGTGTGTATGTGGTTTCTGATAAATGGACAAATATCTGCAAGTAATTACACTGAATCTTTTTCAGGGAAACGCTTTTGTAATCTGGGTTTGAATGATAGGAGGAAAAAGGAGAAATGACTCAGTATTTGATGCTCTGCAGTGGAAATACCAACTTCCTAATGACTATCATATAGCTAGCAAAATGAGTGGTAATTGGTAACATGTTTTAATGTGGTCTCCTGACTGCATCTTTCCTTGTGACATCTATCAGTGATAAAGCTATAGGGGAAAACAAGCTTAATTTACGGTATTTCTAACATACAGTTAATTTGTTATGTGACACTTATACAGCCAGAATTTATGGAATTAAGATCTACTTTATATCTTTACTTTAAACTAGGTGAATTAAGTGAGTAATCTGAGTTTATTTCACTTTACCCACCATCTTTGACTACAACCCATTTAGCTGGAGTTAAAGATAAATCGTATTCCTAAAATAATCTCACCTGCTTTCAGGTTTACACCATAAAAAGATTAAAAATGTCCATTAATTTACCCCCATTTTGCCTTGGCCTCTTTCTCCTGTGCTCAGCCTTGTTCCCTCTATTCCTATGAGACCACTGTAACTGCAGTTGACTGCAATAAGGGACTGCAGGGAAGGGCACTGAATACTAAGATGGCCAAGCCACACAGCCCACATTTAGATCCAACCCTCCCATGAATGGGCAGAAAGCTTCTATTGGGCTGTAGAATGATAGTGTTGCAGTTGTTAATGGGCAAACGCTATAATTGAACATCTGTTGGCATGCGGCTGATGAGACCAGAATTTTAATAAGCTGCACATGAAAAGGTCTGACTGCAAAGTTTGGACACAAGCATGAGCAACATGAGTAACAAGCATGAGTAACCAATGTGATAAATTGAGACTTGTGGGAAAAATGACTTGGCATTGCGCCCCTCGAGTAGACTAATAAGCAATCAATACACGTGCAGACTGCAGAGCATTCATCTTTTGCTTCAAACCAATGTTTCTGTCCTTCTCCCTTAGCAGATGCGTTGTATATCTGAAATCATTTTCATCTTTCCCATGCTGCGGTGTTTCTCTGCTGGCCTTGAGCGCTCCAAATCAGTAATTATAGTAGGCTATGTTTAGATAAACTCAACCTGAATTTTGCTGCTCGCTCAAATTGACATCCCACTCTCAAGCTTTTAGACTTCTCTTCTAGTCTGGGACTTTCAAGATACCTGACAGATTCATGGCTACCGAAATAAAAATGACAGCAAACCTTTGAAATAATTTCTGATCTTACACATCAGTTTAATTGTAATGTAGAGTACAACTCATCCTGTGAATGTCTTCAGCTCTAAAGGGAGCTTTTTAAAGTCTGAGGAAATTACCCTGATGTCATCATACGGGATAAGCTTGGGCTTGCCACTTCAAATCTTGAGCAGAGAGTCTGTGTCAAGACCTTGTGGGTGCAGTCTGAAAGACTTGGGCATTTACCAGAGACAGTCAAAGGAAGGGCACGATTGAATTGCATTATGGGAATAGTAGTGTTTTTGGAGCCTTGCCTGTATTTAAGTCCGTAATAAGGATTGTCTTAGTTTCTGCTGCATTGATTTTGACTGTGCGTTTTACTCTCATATCTCTTGTGAGCCCCCTAACCTCATAAAAGTGTAATGCTAAATTCATGGAGAGTCCCTTTAAATAGCTACTTACAGGCTTTAGACTTAGCTTAAACAATATGTCATAGCCTACATAACAAAAAAATTATAAGTCATTAAGCAGACGTACCTGAGGCCCCATGAGGATAGAGATTATCAGTTAGGTTTCTAATATCCGTAAACCCCTTGCCATATAGACTAATTATAATGACCTCTTTGTACAACAAGCTAGGTTTTAAAAGGGGATGCCACCTAAATTAAGAATTCCAGTATGTGAATCCCATGGTCTATAAGTTCAATTAATATTTGGGAACATGCACTACTCTCTCAAAGCTAGAAACCAGAGAAGTAAGCCCCAAACTTGTGACGTCATAGGGTATAAAGTCTGGAGCTGCTCCATAGACAATAAATAGCTGCCTGATGTTATGTTTGTTACACCCAGTTGAGCTGTATTCTTTCAGCTGTGACACAGAAAATGTACCCATATACTCAGAACATTGCTCTGGGTGCCCTCAGTGTCATCTATAACATCTTTACCACTTTGTCTGTGGAGCAGCTCCAGGGTTTATACCCTAAGACATAAAAAAATTGAATTTCAGCACTCTAGCTTTTGGATTTGAGAGGCATTTATTGATGTTTCTAATATTTTGGACTGTCCTAGACCATGAGAAAAACATGTATTAATTTTGAAAATGGGCGCAGTTCCCCTTTAAGTTGATCATACACATCATTACACACATTGGTGCAGTGATCAGCTAATTGAAAGGTAAAGTACCTCCAGTCATAACATAATGATAAACAAAAAGACGCTATTTATGAGCCATGTGCACGCTATCCCAGACATAAACCCTCATACATCTAAAAATTGGGCACACAGGCTACCTAAAAGTGCCATATCTGCCTTTAAACTCTGCCCCGAAGATGAGAATCTGCGTCTAAAACTGTATGCGGGGACATAAACACTTCACTATACGAGATGACACGTCTCAGGGCTCTTAAGGCACACAAAGAGTCCTTGTATGACCACTGGTACCTCGACGTCAGCGTCTCTGTTGCACTGAGCTGAGTTGGCCAGCAGCAACGTCACTCCCTGACGGCGGCATCAGAGCAGCACGAGCGGCCATCCGCGCAGCAGCGATTCGCTCCGGAACTCGGCGGAGGGAGACAGCGTTGGGCAGCGGCTCTGTGCTCTGGGACTGACTGGACGGCGACTTTGTGCTTCTGTGGCTCAGGTAAACCACGAAGTCGCTTATGGTGGAGACGCTTTTGTTCATTTCAAGGTGAGTTTTGTGTGTTTTTTTATTTAGGCAATTCGCTATAAGGAACAGCGTGGGTACCAAACGTTGCGAGTACAATGACTAGCAAGCTGCCTGCACTGTAGCTGTTGTCCTGTAGCCATAAACTGTGTGTTGCTATGGTACTGCCAGGCAACGTCCCACCTGCTGCTGCCGCGACTATATGTTTCTGCCCTCCTGTCAACCTAAACAAAGATGAATATATGGAAACAAAGCACTCTTTTGTATGTTTTAATTCAGCCATTAATTTGTTATGAATTTAAGTGTGTGTGCGTATGTGTTTTAATTGTGCTGCTTTCTTCTAGCCAACTGTTTTCATTAGACCATGATGGATAATTTTTTAGACTTCAGTTACAGTTGTTTAAATTCCAAGCAATTTAGTAATACCTTCTGCACTTAACCAACACTCCACATTGTGCCTAGTCTGTGGGCTATATTCAGCAGCTGTAGCAGACAGTAGAAAGGTCGCTGCCTGTTTTTGAGTATTTTTCCAGTCAAGTGCTCATGTGTCTGTGGCTCTAGGTGACAGCACAGTCCATTTCCACTAGAACACAGCAAATGCTTGGCATTGCCTATGTAACGGCTGTCTGTTTATTTTCATAGTGTCTAAGTAACACCCAGGACCACAAGGCTTGAGCAAACACAAGATGGTGATTACCAGCGTGGCATCCCTCAGAAGGACATCGCTGGCCATGGACACGGAGAGCAGATGTTTGCAGTGAAGGTGCCTAGTGCATACAGTAGCTTCCCATTCTGTGGCTCATATACAGCTGCTGTGGTTAGGCATCAGTGCATGCCAACGCGAGGCCCGTGATACAAAGAAATTCCATTATCCCTCATCTCCTGTCTGCTGTGACAGAGAGGAGGAAATCATACCATGCTGTCGTGAGTCCAGGAAGGAGGGAGAATTATGAGTCAGAATGGAGAAGAAAAGAAAACTGTCACTCTTCAAATCCACCTCTAAGCTTGGTAGACAGCTCACACACTTACTTTAAGAACACGACCAGATCTCTTTTCAGCCGCCATCTAGAGCTGTAGGACTATGTAGAGACCTTGCTCCTTTTTGCTTTCCATAAATTATTACTGAAACCTTTTACCTTTTCTTAAACTGTTAGGTCTGTATACATTCCAGGGATTAGAGTTAACGCTCTGAGTGAGTGCAGAGTACAGCGGGGTGCATCCAAAGGGAGCTCTGTTCATTGTGTTTTAGTTTACACACCTCCTTATCTCAGCTGTCAAGAGGGAGGATTCTTTTCTACAGTAACTTACCCAGAGCAATAGAGATAGTGGTGGGAAAGGAGGGGTGGGAGGAGTGAGAAGAACAGAGAATGACTGTGAGGGAGTGAGCGTGCTTAACCCAGCCACTGAGTGACTCTTGTATCCAAGGACGAAGGTAGCAACGCATCCAAACGCCACTCTTCGCCCACGGACTTGCTATGAAGAAATGAGGCGAACACATAGGCACTCAGCAGCGCTCATATAGACTCAACAACCTGCCCGGCCCCTTCTTCACAGGTCCCCTGGGGTTTGACTCGCCTGTCTGGAGTGCCAGGGCTGATGACTGAGCATATCATGACGGCAGCTAGAGTGAACTACACAGTACGATAGAGTAGTACTTGAATGGGAGTTTTTTTTTTCTCTTGAAGAAAACAAAACAAAAGTGTTTCCTGTATTTCACCGGTGTCATTGCACCTAAACTGGCCCACGTTTGTGTATGTTTTTTGGCAGAGGAGCAGACTGGAGAGGAGATAGTAACAGGTGCTGCGTGCCAAGGTGGATTTGGAGGTGGGGAGGAGAGCTGAAGATCATGGGTAAATCAAACAGCAAGCTCAAGCCAGAGGTGGTGGAGGAACTGACAAGGAAAACCTACTGTGAGTACCTTCATGTCGGTTTCTTTTTGTTTCTCTTGAGAAACATTCTTCTCAGCTAGCCTGTATGAGAACAACAGCACATTGTGACCAAAGTAAAAGACTATACAGTATGTGATAGATAGCTAAGATTAATAATCACATTTTCCACCCACTGTGTTCCATACAGCTGTACAGTAAATAACCCTGCCTGCTAGGATGTATTGGGATTCCACATCAGTTTCTCATTATTGACAGAACAGAGCTACAGCTAAATGTCAGCTGGGAATAAGCTCCCCGTTTGATTTAAATTTACATTTTAATGTTGTGTAGCAAATTGTGATTGGTGAAGGTCTGGCAAAAGTTGCAATCAGCATCTTTAAATCACGCTGAAGGGATTTATGAATATGGAGATGCTGAGGTTGTATCAGCCATCGAGCTGGGGGTTTTAGAGACGAGGACGTGGTTTTATATGCAGGACATGGAGCCTCTGTATATTTTTATTTGAAAAGAGACAGAGATAGATACAGAATATAAACGGTCAAATTAAGGCTGTGCTTTACATGCCAGAATTCTTAATGGCATTCCTGCAGAGTCTGACAGAAATGGTGGGACTGGTGGAAAAGTCAAAAACTGGAGTGAGCCTGCAACATTGCAAGTACATGTGTTGTTCCTGTTGATTTATCAGGTCATTGCATATACTGCATTTGCTCTTCTCACCTTGTTCACACTCATTTATTCTTTGATGATCTCCAGCTGAACAAAAAATATTTTTCCCCCCCGCCTACAGTTTTCAGTCAAATTTGAGCAAAGATCACGTTCATAATTATCACAATGATGTCTCTTAGGAAGACACTGTCTTAATCATTTGCATGTTATTTCTGGAACCAGCGTTATTATTGTTATTATTTAAGCAGTACACTGTGCAGGTGTGGGTGGGAGTTGACATCCATTGGCTGCTTAATGACAGTGTTATTTGTGTAGTGGGTCTCTCTACAGCAGAACCATGGAAGGCTGTTGTGGCAGGAAATTGCTGTGGAGGAAGATTGGGCTCCGTGCTGGGCTGGGCTGTTTGCTACTGTCCTCTACTCTCTCTCTCTCTTTCTCTCTTACCCTTTCGCCCTGTCTCCTTCGCTTTATCCCCTAATTGCCCTCTTTGAGCTGGGAATGGAATAGTATAATTAGGATCTTATCTGGTTAGCATCGCTGAGAGGGGCACCAAGCTTTTTCTCCCAGCATGATCATTCTCCCTTTCTCTGTTGTTGCCTGACTTGACTCTTATCATTTCTGTTTTCCTTCATCCTGTTGCCTCTTTCTCTCGCTCTCCCATGAGAAGCCTTGTCTGCCATTTTAGTCTACACTTTCCTTTGGTTCTTGACAGACTGGGGACTTAGTAAATTTCTCTGTCACTATGTGTCTTCTTGTTTCAGTGGCAGAAGAGGTAGGGTGCTTTTTTCCCCAGCAGATGCCCTCTATGTTAACAGGCAACCGACAAGGCCAGGCCAGACATAAGGCCTGTTTAGTTCAGAAGATGTCTGTGTGCTGCTTTGCTGTAGGTTTGAAAATGCCTGCATCTTCAAAAGAAAATTACTATGACCTCGTGTTTAAAAATAAAACACTTGATCACACTCTGATCAAAGACAACATTGAGCTGTGCCAAGGCCCTGGCTAGCCGGTGTTTTTCCTGCACTTAGTGAAAACTGTGGAAAATGGCTGCAGCTTCACCTGTACTTTAAGAGAGCTTAATTCAAACCAGAAATTCTTTTCCAAGTGACTGTCCTGGCATCAAATGGAAATGCCAGCAGTCCTATTAAAATGTCTGCAGGATTTAGGTGAGGCCCATGTAACGGCACGACGATTTTGTAAGTTGTCAAAGCCATGAAGAGGCTCAAAGTGACAGAGTGCAAGCTGGATGTGTGGTAGCAGACCCTGCAGAGTCAACCAGCTGAGTGGGCCCTGCATTCTCCTGCACGTGGGTCGATTGCATTATTGCCCATTGCCTCTGACCGTCTTATGTAATAAAATGTTTTATTAAATTGAAGCAATGGTAAATTGGCTCAGTTTTTGACGACATTGACTTTTGAGGCCAATTTAATGGTAGCTTGGCTTGGCTGACAGTCGTGAGATTGACCCTGACATTTATTACCCAGGAAGGGGTCACACGATGGATTCCTTGGTGAACTGCAGAGTAGAACAAATTGAAGGCAGAGATATATGCAGGCGAAGACTACCTGACCCGGCTTCTCATTGATAGCCTCTGTATGATTCTGCTCATGTGCTGCAGCAGTCACATCGTGGAATAAATATATAGACCTCATGGTCAAGTGTTGAATATATTTGTCATGGATATTTTTTTCCTAACCAGTGCAGTATGAGGGCGTTGGACATTTTGATAATTTAATTCCTTACTGTTGTAAATGTCTACGTTTGAAACTTGCTTTGTTTCTCTGGTTGTATGTCTTTGCACTAACTATGACTATGAGTGGCTCAAGGTTAAATATTACAGTAGAAGAAATGATTGACTAACCGACTAGCTGTTTGTGTCATTTATAAGGCTGCTGCTTTGCCCCAGGCCCAACAGAAGTGGTACAGTAGTAGACATCCTCAGACTTACAGTGGCATGAATGCAGAAAGTCTCTCTCAAAGGACCACCTGGTTAAACTAATGCTATTGATTTCCAGCCTTTGTTTTCATTAGCAAGCCAAAGGGCCGAGAGGCTGAAAATTGCTGTGGTTACTTGAGAGAAAGTAAAGAGACGAGGGAGAGCCATGAGGGATTGGTTGATTAGATACTGGCAGATAATGGTGTTTGTGTGTGGGCATGATAACACATCCTGCCTCCTGAACTGTTCTCTTTCTTAAATCTGTGGTTGACCTTCATTCCCTCAGCCTTGCTTGTCTTTTTGTGGCTCCCTGGAGTGTACTCCCACTTGTCGTCTACTATCCTGGCCAGCAGAAATTATTATTCATCTCCTCTGATAGTATGCTAGAGTGGATTCATACAACACTCAACGAAACATGGCTATTTTCCAATAATTGCATGTTGACACCGTGGAGTAATTTTGGTAAAGTCAGACGATGTGTGAAAGGACTGGGCCAAGATGATTAACGATGCTACTACTTGGCTCTTCTGTTGTATGTAACAGCAAGCTACTCTTTTTCTAGGACAACCAAAGTTTTCCTCTAAGCTAATGTCACTCTTTGTTTCTCTTACAGTTACAGAGAAAGAGGTGCAGCAGTGGTAAGTGTGCATTAATTTTTAATGAGATTTTTCTTCCATTCCTGATGTGGCTAGTCATATATTAGCAATTGTGTTTTTACTGGCAAAGCTCACAGGAGTAAGGGGGAGATCTTATCTTGACCCACTTACAAAACCCACTGGTATATATTTTGCCCAGGATTTGGTTTCTTGAATCCATGGATAGTGTATTTACATTTGGTTTGATAGTTGATTTGAAGCCATCTCCCTCACTCTACCCTGAAGACAGATGAGTTCTGAAAATAGAATGACTTTGAAGCCTTACTGAGACTGAATGACTTTGAAGGATGATAACACCGATACAAAACATTTCCATGATGCATTCCTCAACAACCTTTTTGCTCCATTTGCAAATGGGATGTTTGGTAACAGAAGAACCTGAGGTCATGAGGTTTCACTTTCGACCGCTTAATCATTACATAGTCACTGAGCCTCCACAAGGTTGTTGATTAGTAATCCTCTCTGTATGCTTATGAAAATAAATATATAATAAATATATATATATATATATATATATATATATATATATATATATATATATATATACAGAGAGATACCTCAGGCCCTAAGTCACAGAACTGTGGTGAGAGTGATCATTACTGTTAAGGTGTGAATTTCTGAATGTTTGTCTGAAGGCACAGTTCGACGGCTGCTGGCACATGGATAAGAGACAATATATCTTCATTTACAGAGATGATTCAAGCATGAGCGCAGTCATTGCTTTTGTTTGCTGCATGCCACTCTTGGGCTATTGTTTCCTTGGAAATGAAAAACAAAGCGTGGCGTATATCAGAAGAGTGAGCACTGTAATAAAGTGATCACTCCATGTTCACACTTCAGTTCTCCTGCTTTGGTTTTGCATTTCACGACCTAATTCTGCATGCATGAGAAGAGCTCTGCCTCCTAGACGCTGTTCATGTCCCCTGTTGGGGGGTTTACAGGGGGTTTACTGTTGGGGGGAGGCAGGGCACATTCACAGCAGCATCATTGCATATCACTGGGCATTGGCAGGTCAATAGCCTCCGAGCGGGCTCGTCTCTTGGGCTGACTGAGTGCACTGGGGCGGAATACCCCCACCCCCCTTAAACTTCCAACCCCCCCGGCTGTGCAGCCAGCTAGCTCACCATCACTCTCACTGTTTTCACAGCAAAGTTTGCATGAGTCCTCACTTGAAGATCAGCAGCAATCAACACGGCTGAGTGTGAGGGATGAGAGGGAATTTTACCAGGGGAAATGCCAGATGGCGTGTAATTAGAGCACAGGCACAGACATAGAAGAATAAGCGGGGTTAGATAAATGCCTGTGTTGTGCATTAAATTTGTTCCCCTTCCTAATTCTCCTCTAAGGGAACATCATTAGTATGCTAGAGGCTCACCTGAAATCAATAACAAAACGCCATAGCTCAGTGATGTTCCTGCCAGCGAGGCAGGAGCAAGAAAGACATCCTGCACAACTCTTTAGTAAACCACCACGGTAGATGCCAAGGAGCAGGAACCAGTGCCAGTAATAAATACTTAATTTTCATGCTGGCCCCCTAGTGTGGTCGGATGCACAATGTCACGTCTGCTGTGTCCCTGCAAGCACAGTGCGTAGTTGTACTGTTACACTACTTCAAGTACAGTCTGACTGTGTGTGTATGGGGGTGTATGTGTGTGTGTCTTAGTGTCACCAAGTCAGATTTCATGTACATGATGTGTACTTGGCAAAAATAGGCAATTCTGATTATGAAGCTGACATTGGGCAAACATGTTTACACTGGTACAGTCATTGCCTTTTTTACTCTACCCATGTACTGTAGATATGTCTTCTGCTTACATAAATCAACTGGTAGTATATTAAGTATGATAGTAGCCTTAGATGTGCATTACTGTATGCCTGATGAAGCTAATAATTGTGAGGGGGAAAATAAGTATTTGATCATTTAAAACTGAAAGTGCAGATTGAAGAATTTAAGCCCGACTAATATTGACATTGGTACTTCAGAGGGTAAAAATCCAACATCTATATATCGGCTGATGTTTTTTAACAAAATTTTACCAAACAGTTAGGATATGAATCCTTTTAATTTGGTTATTGAAAATGGAAAAAAATGGTGCTGTATTTGCATTGTGGGTAATGTAGGTGCCAGGTTTTAAGAAGGAAGAAGAACATGTGGAATAAACAAGAAAATATCTCTGATCTTGATGCATTTAAAAAAAAGTCTCCATGAGTCTGACAGTATTATAGAAGTGCAATGCTAACATGATGGAGTGCTATAATAATTCACTGCTTCTTTTTCATTTGCAATAAGTCCTCAAGGTGCTCAAAAATTGTAATAATGGGTCACAGAAAAGAAATTTTCAGGCACTGTCAGGCAACAGTCTACTGTATATTAAAGGTGTACTTCAGTGATTGACATATACATACACATACATACATACATACATACATATATATA